TAAAAGTTGTTGTGGGGCCCAGGGCCACAGGATCCGGGGTCCTCACAAGTCCCACAAGTATTGGGGGAATGGAATACAATTTTCTACTTACTTTCTGTTAAGAAGCCAGGAGCCATACATTATTCAAATAAAGGTCGAGTGAATCAATAAGGGTATTCAGATCTTACTCATTTAGGTCTTAATTCGGTATTCGGTAACTCCCACCATTGGTTTGTTTTTGTAAATTGCCGAATATATCATTACCAACTTAACGAGGTGGCAAGTCTGATAATGTGATAACACACGCGTTAGAATATCAGCTGACTCCTTTTTGTTACTTATTTGTTGGAATTTTCTCGCGCGAAAAGTGCATACATTTTACCAAAAGTTCAATAAATCTCTCTGTCGTGGAATTAATAAAGTTTTATAAATAAAAGTACTTCACGTCAGCTGATTCGAAAGTAATTTTAACCAGAAAAAGAATAAGGGCCTTCGAAGTAGAAAGTGTTACCGAGTTACCCGATAACGAATTAATGCATAAACGAGGATATTCTGAATATCCTTAATGTAAGGGCGTTCAACTAATAGTTTAAAAAATATGCACGCGAACAAAAGAATACGGAATAGAAATGTTAAAATATTGCCATCGAATTGCCAACAGTTAGCGAGTGGTGAAACGAATGAAACTAATGAGGTACCACCAAACTCGCTATCGTCCATCGTTGCTATCTAACTTTGCTGTTGCTTTCATATACACAAATTTTCGTTAAGCGACCCTAACTCAAACATAGCGAGCAGAGAAGTGGCGAATCGATGCCGGCCAAGGCGAATTTATACAAGGTGGCACTGTTGCCAACTTGGTGCTTTTCGCACTAAATTTAGTGCTTTTTTTTATTCAAAACGCGAAAATTTTTGGGTTTAGTGCTTGGTGCGTTTTTTGGTGCTTTTGTTTTTAATTTGAAGACACCAAATCTGAAAAAGGGGGTAAAATGTATAGCGATCGTAAGTTTTGTAAGCAACTTTACAAAAATGGAAACGGCATCACGGCACAATGACAATCATAAGCGAGAGAACAAAAAATATTTGGCAGCACTTTCAACCATGCCAGAATTACATTCGTTAATTCGCCATTGCTGGGACCAGGAATCGACCTTTGGACCTTTAGTTTGGGCTGAATTTGATATATTTTTTTAAGACTATTCAAAAAACGCAACAGCATCTCCTAACGATAAAGTTATTATCTAAGGAACCTTTTTAGAAAAGAGAACAATCGAAATCAGGTGGGATTTAAAGAGTATACAGCTTTTTTTGGCTTGTTTATAATATGTATTTATTTATTGAATCTTTCTTTCGAAACTAACAATAAATTTTCAAATCTTACAAACTACTATTAAATTTAAAATTTCTGCGGCAATGCTTAGAAATGTTTTATTTTTTCATACATATATATTTATTACAGCTGTTGAGGCTGTCGGAATGGAAAACAAACTATTTTTCCCACTATGCGCCAGTGGATAATATGCACGAAAAAGGGAAATAAAATTTCGTTACAGGTGTTAAGCGGTCGGAAAGAAAAGTTCTTTATGTTCCTTTAGTTTACAAGAGCATAAGAGACTGCAGGGTAGATTTCAACTACCACATAGTTCATGAAACTTCATTTCTTCTTTTTTGCTTTTGTTTGATAGTAACTGAAGAAAAATTAAGCAAAACGAAGAAAAATTTAACATTTAAACAGTCTGTATTAAAATATTTGAATTTAGAGAAAACAATAAATTCCACCGTCGAGCAAAAAACATTAGGGGTATTTATCTAAAGTGATAAGGGTACCCCCTTGCTTAAATTGCTTAAATTTATCAGTTTATCTGCATTCTTTCACGAACGAAGCTAGGTAAATAATTGCATAAAATTGTTTATTATTTAACTTCTATGGCTAGTTACGTTTCTATTCTTACCTCTTCCATTGTGTTCATTTGCTTTTTATGTGTTCGTAGCAAAAGTGATCACTTGGAAACCTGTCAAGGTTTAATTTGGCTAAAATTTATAAATTTATCCACCAAACTCGTTTGATAAAGTGATAAACTTTGGTTAAATAGATTCCCATACAAAGTGTGACAGCTCATTTATCGAAATGATAAATTTGTCATTTTATCAAGTTTATTAACAGTTTATCACTATTGATGAAGACCCCTATTGATTCTTATTAATTTGAATCGGCTTCCCTACAATAAAATTTTTCATGCATACAAAGTCCATTAAATACTTCAATAGAAATTTGGTGCTTTTTTCGAGAAAAAAACGCGATTTTTCTTGGGTTTTAGTGCTTTTTCGAATTCAAAACTTGGCAAAACTGCAAGGTGGAAGAAAGAATACAAAAACAATAACCACATGTATTTTGTATCACGGTCAAAATGTCACCTTGTATAAATTCACGTTGATGCCGGCGATGTTCAGTAGTACATGCTACCAGAGGTGTGCATAAATGGTTTTGAAAGGTTGTTCAAAATATTTGCTAATTTCAGTAAACTTCACTTCACCTCATATTTGAACAGACTACTGCACAGAGGGATTAAAAACATTGCTTCGATAAAACGTCAAGCACTATTTCATTTACTGTTAAGTGTCTACTACTGCAGGGGTTCTTAAACTTTTAAGATAATGGAACCCCTGCTAAATACTTTTAATTTTACGGAATCCCACATCAAATTACTAAAAATCAAAAACACTGCAATTTAAATATGAATAAAAACTTTTATTTGAAATAGTATACAAACTTTAACCTTTAATGTGAAGAATGAAATTGTTTCACGGTTTTATTTATTATATCTTTGTAGTTCGGTATTACGTCTGACAGCTGTATGCGAATTTCGGAGGTAGCGTGCAATTTCGACCTGAATTGGTTTTTTGTATAAGTGTAAGCCGAAAAGCCTGTTTCAAAACGATACGTAGTGACAAACGGAAGCAAGGTTAAGATAGCCTTTTTGGCTACTTCAGGGGATTCACTCCTAACACTAACCCAAAACTCGTTCAGAGTCACAGACTGTCGAGGAACTCAGAAGATCTATGAATGATTCGTACTCCAGGACGAATAGCATCTCAGGATGATTTTTTATGGGAAATGGGATTTGTACCCACTCGGTATCAATATTACTATCCGGAAAATAATCTGCCCAGTTATGACATTTCCCATTTCATTTGGTAATTCTAACGCGTTTTCTTGTAGAAAGTTGTATAAAAGTGGTAATCCAGAAATTCAATTTTCTTTGAAAGGATGATATCTTGTCTCCCCCATAAATACGTTTGTTGATTTTCCCTGCAGAAACGTAGAAATTTCATTGATCTTTCCAAAAATGTCGGCAAGATAAACTAATTTTATAAGTCACTGTTCATCGTGCAATACATTGAAAATGGTTACAGCCTCCGACTTGTTTTCCCTCATTTCGTA